CTTAATGAAACTTTCAGAACTTAATCATAATGTTCAAATGTATGTACATTCCAAATCACACGTCTCAAATACTTGAAATGCATTTTTTACAAGTGAAAAAAGGTTCAAGTGAGGCTACATGTATTGTTAGATTATCAGATCAACGAAAGATTATCTAAATCAAGACTTATTGAAAAAAAAAAGAAACAAAACATTATAGTTAAAATGATTTTGTTTGTGGAAAAAGCACGAATTCATTTTTTTCAGTTTTAGATGTCCAATCATTTTCAGAAAACAAATTTGAGGCGCAACTACAATCTAACAGAAGACAACGCAGTCCTAGATCTCTGTATCTGTTTGATGATATTTTTATCAAGTGTAATGCAATATATATTTACTAAGCAATGTAAAATTATAAAATTTTGAATATCTAATACCCATGTATGTTCATCTGTTTAAGAACAAGAATCTTAAGACGTAACAACGATACAAATTATAGTTAAGTTTCAATTATCGTTTTCTATGTCTCTTTGCTTTGCAGTTCAGTTCAGTTCACTATCAGTTATTGTAAAACTTCACAGCAATTTAAATTTTAGGGCATCTAAATGACAGCAAGAGAACTTCCAAGTCATTGCCATGCGTAGTTTCTCAGTATCTTTCAAAAGTACAAAAAGTTTGCCATTCAGATGAATGCAGCATCGTCATTCGTTAGAAGCGAGTGCAGCCACCATTGCGGCCATTAAAACAACAGGACTTTAGTCGAGTCTACTCGACTAATCGACTCGAAATTCACAGTAACTTATTTTATAAGGAATTACAATTAAAACAACAGGACTTTAGTCGAGTCTACTCGACTAATCGACTCGAAATTCACAGTAACTTATTTTATAAGGAATTACAATCTGGTCATATATACATACATATATACATTTGAATAACATCCAAAATTTAAATATAAAATTTATTATAATATCTCAAGACAATATTGTGAAGTACTACAATTTCATTCTTCTTTGCAATTTATACCTATTTTTCAGCAAGGCCAGATTCATTTTAAAACGCAAATTATGTCCAGGGTATTTAGTATTCACAATACAAAAATATTTTATTCGTTTTCAAGTGCACAGCGTGTTATTTGCCCGTGCATCCGTCATGAGCTCGAAAATAGTGAAACACTAAATTTTTTAGAGTTCTCTGGTTATAGTAATATATTTAAAGTAAAATAAGTAAGAAAACTCTAGTCGAGAGTGCTCGACTAGATACTACCCTGAACCAAATTAATAAAAACGAACATTTAGTATAGCTAAAATTTCGATTTCGATGTATTTAAAAATATAAATGAAATATAAAACTTATTTAATTAAATATTTTAAATATTTACTAATTTTAAAACAATTAAAAAAAAATCCGGTCCTCACTGCTCGAAACTGCAATGGCAAAAGTGAAATAGATTCACTACTGCAGCGCCATCTAGCAAATCTAAGCCAAACTAACTGCTGTTGTGATTCTAAGAATGTGCTAGAAGAAGTTTGAATTTATGTGTGCACACGTATGTATAGGAAAACTGCTGTAGCTGCAGCACGTGCTTTTATTAATTGGCCAAACATTTTGGTTTTTTTAATGTCGATTGACTTAACCGATATTCTATTGATCTACATATTCTATTGAATAATTGACAAATTTGAAAAAAATTAAAAATCAATCAAAGTTAGCTACAGTGGCATCTGCCTTGATTGATAATGTTTTAAATCGATAATAAAATATCGGGAATAGAAGACTTTCGAAAATTTTCTATGGAAATTCTGTATTTTGAACCAGTTTTGGTTATTCCATTGGAGACATAAATTGTAATATATTAATAATACATTTGATTGTAGAATCGTATATTTAAATAATGATTATCTTCTAAATTGAACAAATTTGTACTAACAATATAAAAGATGTTCTCATTAAATCCACTAATATACATTGCACCTTGAACCCTAGCGGTTTAAATTATAAATCTTTGTTGCTAATTTTTTTTTTTTTTTCAGTTCCGCCAACAATAAAGGCTGTTAACCAATTAGTAGGAGCGCCGGTTGAACGGGAAGTAACGTTAGAATGTATTGTGGAAGTTTATCCAAAACCTCTAAACGGATGGTACCGCAACGAAGGTAATTGTGTTTTAAATTTATTATATATTATTATTACATGTAACCAAAATTACGTATTTGATTTGAAATATTTAATGTTTTAAATATTTTCATTAATTAATCGATAGAGCTAGAAATTTGATTGGCTACACAATTTTTTAACTATTACGGAAAATGTATTTAAAGTCATATGTAAATAGATTTAATGTAATCAGCGATTTGTAGTATAGTTTTGTATTTACATTATATAAATAAAATTGTTAACTCTTTCAGGAAATGTTAAATTGCACAATAGCAACAAGTATAACATCTCAGAAGCAATGGTTAATCTGTACATGTGGCATCTTAATTTGACGATACGACACCTGACGAAATCTGACTTTGGAGCTTATACTTGTTCTAGTGTAAATGCTCTAGGGAAGAGTGAGGCGCGAATTCGATTGCAAGGTAAGATAAAATGAAACTTATTTCAAGTTCAATGCTGGTCATATGATTTTTTTTTACCAATCAACCAGACCCAAGCTAAGCCAAGTAGTTCTTCCAATTCGAAACCATCAATTCAGTGAAGAATGAATCTGTGTGTGTGTGTGTGAGTGTGCGCACATCGCATGTGTAATTCGTTCAGTTTCCTGACAATAAATCACCTAGGATTTTCTTCGGTCTATTATTTTTATCGATCTCATTTAGAGACGACTGAAGCATTTCTCTATCTTTCATCTACGCAGTGGAAGCATATCCTCATGCTCAGCATCAGCCTCAGTTTCAGTCTCACACGCTGTCCCAGTCTCAGTCACTGACTCATTGCCAACGCAAAATAGAGCTAGAGCTCTAAAACTAAGCATGAATTATTGCACAATCAGCGAAAAACTTTCTCTGCTCGCAGTGCCACCAGGGTTGGATCCAGCTCATAGGCGACATTTTAATTTACACTTAAAGGAGTGAGTCATAGAGAAAATACAAATTCTTGAACAAATTAGCTGACAAATATATATTTATATTGATTATGTCAATATAGCTAATTTTTGTAATTAATGTATTTCCCAGCTAGCTAGTAAACTGTCACCATATTCGGAAAATATTATTGAGATCCAGTACAAACCTCTGTTATTAACTTAATGATTTGTTGGAAAACAGAAAGGAACTAACAAAGCCAAGTCAAACCTGATATAGAGAATTTATATATACTATAATGTGCCTGAAGTCCCCTGAATAAAAGGACAGATGGAAAATTATTATACTTAAGGGCTACTGAATAAACGTTCCACGTTCATAAACGCTTGTCATTAGGTTTTTATTTGTAATTATTGTTGCCTCACTTTTTTTTTTAAGACTGTCTGCCATCCCATTGGGTTTGCTTTGCCCCTCGAACCATGGAAAGAAGCATTCGGCATTTCATAATTGGTGCAATTTCTTGCAGAATTACGATTACCGCCCAAGTCGACAACGACGCCAACACCTCACGTGCACACTACCCCGAAGCCGCGTCGGAAGCAGCAGCCCAGCCACAACAAGGGACTGAACGAAGTGGTGCGTGCCAAGGAAACCCATTTCTCAAATCAAATGCAGCAAGAGAACGATGTATTCGGCAGCGGGATTGGTGTGCCCCAAAGCCCCAACGGCGGTGGTGGTGCTGGTGCCGGTGGTATTGTGGCAAGTGGAAACGTCAACGGCATGATAAACGGAGCGGAAGGTAAGTTACGATTTAGAAAATTCCACAAATACATGCTGCAGCACAAGCATAGAATGAAGTCAGGCATAAGCGGTAGTTACAAACACTCACTTCCACATCTACCGGACCAGGGGATATTCTCAGTCTGCATACACATGCGACTCCACCATCCATAGGGCACTTCTCTTCACCAAGGGACCATGACTTGGACAAATATAATGTCGCTGCACCAGGGCTGCCCTTTTAAGGAACTCTTGGTGGCTTGCCTTTACTTCTTCGATCTTTGCTTCCTTCGCTACTAGGAACGGACAACAACAACGGACAACAAACCGCAACATACATACATTCTCCAGCCCACTAGCTCTGCTGCAGTAGCAGTAGCAGGAGCACACTCCCATCGGCCCTTTCAAGAGTACGTGACCCCCTTTTAAGCCACTACGGGCTTACCCTGGCACCCATTTCTCTAGCCATAGCGGCAGTAGTAGTCACCAGGACTTAGCACTCGTGCAGCTGTCGAGTGCACTGATTTATCAGTGAAGCCGTATTTTGGTACAACTCAGTATTTTCCAAATCTCTTTTGAAGTTAATTTTCCGGCAGTCAGTTTCAATTTCAAGTGTGCGTTTTCGTCCTAGTCCAACCTCACTTCCACCTAACTGCTTTCAAGCGGAATTGGCTAATGTCAACTAAAACTAGTCAGTAAATATATCTCTAGGCAAAAAACTATTACACTTAATGGTGTAAAAGCGAAAATTTATTTCAATCATATCAGTTAATATATTTACACTTGTGTAGCATATAGAGAACAAGCTGAGAGCTGACCGACTAATTTCTGAAAGTTTTATAAATGATTTGATTTTTAATAATAGAAGAAACCAAAATGCTTGAGAAAAAAAAATAAAATAAAAATTTTGTTCTATTTCATATCCTAACGGTTTTGTTTCTGAAACATTAAAAAAATACTTTTTGTTTTATTTAAAATTAATTTATAGTACATACGCAAGTTCCAACGCGCAATGGATACGAAAAAATAAATAAGTCGCCGGGTGCGGTACCATCGCATCGTCCGCCGTGGACTTACCCAAGTGCGGGGTCACAGCTGCTTGGCATAGCAACGACTAATGCCCAGATGGCTTTTTTCTGCATATTGTCTATGTATTTAGTTAAGCTCATTTAAAATTATGATTCCAACTAAATCCAACACCAGACTGCAACCAGCAAGGATGGCAAGGAGCAAGGATGGCAGTAGGAGATAGTAGTAGAAGCAGAAGGTACAGTTAACAATGCACTATATTAGCTATGAAGGGAGAAAATGAAGTCGGTCTGGTCAAGGCCCATTTGAGGGTATCAATCGTCTGGCCGTCAAGGGGAAGCTTAATTTGCACTTGTACTTTTTTAATCTATCTATATATATATCTATATGATAACTTTTCATAATGCTATCGAAACAACTAATTAAATCACATAACAAAGTATAGTCAATCAAAATAGTTTTCAAAATATTCTAAAGAAAGTAAAAATAACGGTATCATTATTGTTATGCATAATCAATGGTTGGCTTAAGCTCGGATCTGATCAGAAATGATACCAATGGATATATATATATATATATATACAATGATGATCTTTTTCATTAGTCACCTTTCTGTGCTTGAATTTCTACATTGTTTGGGCTTAGAACATATACATAGTTGTTGATTACTGCTAATCGATCAATTTACTTGGTTTAACTCAATATGATATCAGGACGCTTGTTTACTTTTTTCAAGAAATATATTCGCAATTTTATTATAGCTGAACTGTCAAAATTTCTAAATCTTATAGTTTCAACTTTATCAAAGAAAGCAAAAGTAACAGAAATCAGAATCATCATCAGAAATCATATATATATATATATATATATATATATATATATATATATATATGTGTGTTTCTGTTTCTGTGTATAAATAATTACGCACTGAATGATCTGATTAGTTTTATAAAATTTCCGTCCTGGTGTATGGCCGTCTGTCTGAACTTAATGAATACATGAACCAAGCCATTTGGCACTATCGTATCAACATGGGACAAATTCTGTAGCTTTATTCCAAAAAATTATTTGCAGAGAAATCGAATCCAGTTTTTGTGGGGAATATAAGAAACGAAGAGTTGGCTACCCATAATCGCAATTACATACATAAAAATTCATATTCATTCGTCAATATAAAACCAAAGCCAGGTGACATAAAATCGAAATTGGTCAGATATACTCATATATGTACTATATGAATAATAATATGCATACATATAATGAGAACCCATTTAGTTCAAAGTCCAATTGAGCCCCTACTTACAATAAATAAAACAATAATTTTATACAACACGAAAACCAATGCTAACAAAAAATTTTATATGTAAGTTATTATACTGAGCTTATTTGCTCACATTAGATAATAAAAAATATCAAAAGTTATATAATGAATAATGCAATACAGAAATGTCTTCCGAGAAAAAAGAAAGAAAAATAAAAATTAAGATTGACGTTTACAAAAGGAAAATCAACAATAATTTATTAAATTCCATATATGTAATAAGTTATTGTTTAACACTATACCGAAATTGTATATATAGAGTATAAATAACTTTAATGAAGATAGAAGATCTCAGATATAGATATGTTATTGAGAAAACTTAGGTAATAAAAAATCAAATGTTTTACAAGCCATATTTTCAAACCCTATAAGGCAGAAGTCCCCAACAATGTTATTTCTAATATTAAAACAGCGCCAAGCTAATTAAATTTTCTTCAATTGTTGGCCCCGAAGACAATAAAAATCTGTGTAAAGCCTACATTTACCAAACATATCTCCATTAGCTAAAAAGTGAAATAAGGAACGAAAAATATGCATTTATATAATTAAATTATATGTATTACTAAATTATATGTATGGAAGAACATCGCAATAAGTAATACTATTTTCATATCATATGCTTTAATTTATTGTTTATAGTTTGTGATTACTAATTGCATCTTCGATTTCTATAATATGCGTATACCATACAATTATCTAAACGCTGGCACTTAAAATTGCAAGCATAAAAATATTTGCGAATCAAAACGAATTGCAAGAAACGAATTGCAATGAAGCATACATTTTTTTATTTTAATTATAAAGCACACGCAGACTATTGAATCTTCTTCAAGAATTGAAATAATTAAATATCAAATTATATTCCATTGTTAGAGATGTCGAAAATGTATACATACATATCATATGAGATATTATGTGCATGTGAATCGGTGGTGTATGCGTTGGTCAAATATTTAATTACACAAACATACTGTATGTATGTATGCTTATGTATATACATATGTATATGTATATGTATATGTATGTATCAGAAATTTATATGCATATCAGTGTGTGTATGCGTGCAGTAGACTTGGAGCTATACTTGGTAACTGGAAGTGTAGTCGGGGATGCAGTTGGCATTGAATTTGCATAAATGCATGCTATTGAAAATGCCAAAGTGGCTGCTGTTGCATTGCAATCCCGGACTGCAGCTCAACTCCCATTTTGGGGGAGATGAACGAAACGCGACAGCTTCCAATTGCTGCAGACTTGGTGGGTGGATGGGTTGGTTAGTCTGCGGACATGGTTCGCGTCCGGTGGTGCTGTATGCGTGGCAGAAAAAGTGGGCGTTCAGTTTAGTGTCCGAGCAATGTGGTTCATGCTATTGTTGCATTTCGACTACAGCGGAACAATCTAAATGATGATGCGCATTTGTGCAAATGACGGCAACCTCCAAGCCTCCTCTACACGTCTCGCTACATATATTCTGGCCGGTCGAGCTTGTTTATCGAGTCTGCGTGGACAGCGGGCGATAAGAGCCAAAGCCTTCAAGTGCGCTTGATGCTACCGATTTGGTAAGAGGGAGGGTTTTCGCAATAGTAGCCTACTTGCATAACCAACAAACAGAAGCACGCTCCAAACCACTCCCTCACCCGCACATCCACACATCCATACACCCACACACTCACTCACTCAGTTACACTCATGCATTTACGCATTAACGAATTTCATACATTGCTCGAGTCTCACCGGCTCTCGGCAGACTCTTTCCCTAATTTAGCTGAGGAATCGGCGTAGAGAACAGCATAACAGTTGTTGCGCGTCAGCAGCTCATAGAAGTAAAACGAGTAGAACGCAACCGACTCCATAATATGTTGTACGATCACGTTACAGTCAAGATTTTGTTTATTTCTTTGACACTTTGCAATTGCAATAGGGGATCGCTGAAATTATAAGTTTATCTGCAAAGAGGGGCCCCGTTATTCACTTGGAAAACTTTTTAGTGCGATATTTTTTCTAACAATATCTGACAATATTTTATAATTAGAAAACTATTGTTTTTCTGCGTTTCTCAGGAATGCATCATATCAGCTTTATTGATTGGCTGTTTCCCGGACATGGAAAATGGACATTGTAGAAAACCAAAACACTCTTCCATTTCCTGAACGAGTATAAAAAATGGGCTGATTCGACAATTGTCGCACAGTCGGCAAACTTCACACTTATATGCGCCACCCACAGCTCCATACGAGCGCGCACTTATTTGTTGGAATGAGCCCGTTTGTTTGTCGAATCCACACACTTTGGCCAGTGCAGAGCCTGATAATGTTTTCAACATTAAATTCCCATTAAATTCTGTTTTATTGCTCTTGAAGCTGCATGCATAATTTACTCGCATCCTGCTACGTGACGTTGCATACTGCAAAGTGCATGTGGTCGACCACAAATACTGGGCTCGCTCCATCTTCATCTTCTTCGCTGTTCCTCAGTAATTGTATCCAATTCAGCTTTCACACTACTAAACACTAAAAATCTTGGATTGTTCGGTTGGACTTCAAGTCATATATTTACTTTACGAAATAACTGATTATAAAATGGAATTCGTACTTTTTATATATATATATATATACTTTTTGTGTTTATGGATATTCGTTGGATCCATTGGATATTAGTTTGCTTTTTTCTTTATTACATGAATCTGATTTGGTGTAGTCAGTCTCAGTTTTATTTCCGAATAATCATACCCAAATCTCAGATGCCTCGTAAAAGCAAAAGATCAAACTTTACAACATTATTTATTTAACAATTACTAGCTTTTTTCTCCTTTCCATTTCATCTTTGTTCACCTCTGTACTCCTCCATTGAATTAATCGTTATGTACAGGCCTTCTTTGCAACACTGATTATCACATCTCTGTCATATTCTAATATAAAGCTAGTAAAAAGGGTAACGCCCGACTGCGGAATACTCATTCACACCGCATCAGCAATTAAGTAGCCAAGTTAACGTCTAATACCGTAAAAAACTTAGTTTTTCTCGATTTTTCACACCCCTACTAGGCGTAGACACTTCATTTTTGGCAGCTCAACAAGCTCACGGTAACCTAACCGCTAAATTTGGATGTTTACGCTCAAAAAATTAATAAAATTACAGGGTAATTGGTGGGCGTAGACATATCATTTTTTCATTAATCTTTATAGAATCATAACATAAGCTCACATGCAAAAATTTTACGTTCTAGCCTTAAAATTCTAGGAGATACAATTTTGTCCGATTTGCCACGCCCCCAATGTGCGTAGATACATCCGCCATAACTCGTGATTTTGTATTTTCAAGTCCCTAGCTTCAATAGTGTCGAAATAAACTGTTTTCATACGTTTAGTCGGACAGACGCACGGACAGCAAGACGGACAATGCACAAAACCAATACACTCATTTCACTTTGTGAATGAGTATAAATATGTATAACAAGTAAGAATGCTCTAGCCGAGACTGCTTGACCCTGAACCCTTCGAGCCACTGATATTTCAATAATAAATCGCACACACACACGCATTTAAACAAACACAAGCACACAAGCCTCCTTCTGCCTGTTACATACATTTTATCAAAACCATTATACCCTGATTTCCCATTTTCAATGGGTTCAGGGTATAA